CGCAAACATGATTAATCATCTGAACACTTAAGCTAAACTAAACATGATTTTGCATATAAAGGCTAAATATGCGAAAATAGTTCGGAGAATTTAACTTAGAACATAACATGATTGGCATGGCTTCTCGCACGGCCTTTACCACACATAACACGCATGCACGTCTAACTAAAAATTGAACTTAATAAACATGATAATCTCGGTCAACAACCATCGTGAATTACCTCTGATTAAGCCCGAGTGACTACTCTCTTCGAATACCCGTACTCGGCCGTGACCCTCCGCGTGCGTGCGACGCCGTGCGGTACCTTGCAGCGTAGTGTGCGATGGCTTGCGGTACGTGCGACGGACTACTACAACACTTGTAGATGCTTGTGTACGCCTGACCGCCGAGCGATGTGCTGACTGCCGTGAAGTACTACTGCTACGCGTGCAATGCTTGCTGCTTGCGTGCGATTAACCGTGCGGTGTGCGATGGGGTGATAGTTTACGGTGCTCGTGGTACTCTCAGTGATTGCTCACGAACAACACTCAACAATTCTCACAAAATTCACTTATCTCTCGGCACTTAGAATATATAGGCTGAACTTTAGTGTAGGGAAGATGGAAATTTTTCCTCCAAACACCTTCTTATATATGAACCGCAAGGCATGGTGGAGATGAGGTTATGATGTGGGTGCTTTAGCTAAGGACACTTGGAGATGCTAAACCCACTTAAGCTAATGACTAAGCACTTAATTAGTCTTATAACATGCCACGTTTAAGCTACTTCAAAATGAAGAAAGTTGGACAATCCCACTAACTTGCCTCATTTTTGCATACGACCTTTGAAGATAAATTCCATACGGCATTTTGGAATGAATTTAGAAAGGTCCGAATGATTAAATGACTAACCTTGTGATTAATTGATAATTAATCACTTAATTATGTTTAATTATTTAATTAAACATAATGTTTAATTTCCAAAATTATTCTGAACGTAAACAGTACGTCGAAAATAATTTCCGATAATTTCGACTGAACTGACTGAAAATAATTAATTCCGAAAGTTAATACCGGAACTGAAAATATAATTTGTATTGAAATTGATGGGATATTACAATAATATTATTGTGTTGATGATTGATTGTGAGGTTGATTTGAATTTTAAATGAGTAACACCATAAATGATTTTGAAATAAAATTCAAAAATTAAATTGATTTTTTTGAAAGTCCGGAATTTCTGTAAAATCAAAGTGGGGCGTTACCTTTGGGTTTTTGAAAAGGTCTGGCAACCGGAGTGGTGGATAATCAAAATGGCAATGCAGGAGTGGATGGAGTACAATAGCTGAAGCTGGGATCTGCTAGATGGAAAGATAATCATTCACTAGGTCTTGTGTCAGTGGTGCCTTGCTTCCTCTTTTCTTCTCTTTTCTTTTTCAGTTTGTGTTTGAGTTTTCTGATTCTGTGATAGTTAATGGTTGTTGTTATTAGTTTGTGTTTTTGGGATGTTCATCATGTTTAGTTGTTGTGATTATAGCAAGGCTAGTGTAGGGCTATTTGTCCTTGATTAGCTTGTAGGCTGTTTGTAACCTCCGAGTATCGGTGATTTGGGACTTTGATTCCTTGTATTATTCCTTGATATTTAGTTAATGAGAATTTAATGTCGTTGGAAAAAAAAAGTGGGGCATTACAATCCTATTCGGGTCTGAAGTCGAATTCAATGTTCAGGTGGCGTTTTGTCACAACATGCCCAAGACGTGCCGCGAGTTTCTTATACGAGTCCAACAACATGTGATCGCCGAGGAATCAATGTTCGTCCCATTGTTTGGAGTCGTAAATGAATCAGTATCAAAAGCTAGGGAAGCTATATCGAACAAAGATCCCGCAAGAGAAGACCGGACAACTCAAGTTTGGAACCTTCAAAAGCAATACAAGGAAAAGTTGACCGCCAGTTATCATAGAGTCTATTCGGCCGGAACAACCTTAGTGTAACGCCCCGTTTTTCATACCTTGAATTTCTCAAATAAATTTTTGTTTTTCTTAAACACATTGAAAGCTCAAGGGCGTTACTACTTTAAAACTTAACATAACCTCGAATAATTTTGAAACTTATCATAGCATCATATAAACCATAGCATAATCATCATCAAACTTGCATAAGTAAAACTTCATATCCATATGAACTCAAACCATGTCTTGAAAATAAACTTACATAGAAAATTCCATAATCATATTCATTAAAAATTTGAAATAACATAAAGCAATAAAACACGAAAGCGAGTTTATTTATTTATTTGACCACAATCGTCATCGCTCCGTTTCTAACTCGATCAACCTGAGTGTGGAAAACAAATGAGGTGTTAGCATTTTCACTTACTCAACGAGGAATACTTTCTACGTAAAACATTCAAAATAACAGCAAATCATATGACATCAATATGCAACATGAAGAAATATACATTACCCACTAGTAAATGGTTTTTCCCACATCTAGAAGGTTACCTTTGCCCCTTTGCCATTTTCCCCTCTAACAAATGGTTTTACCCAAATGTCAGAGGCCATTGCCATTACGTTTGCCATATTCCTCCCAACAAATGGTGTTACCCAAATGTTGGGCGCCATTACCATAACCTTTGCCATTTTCCTTCCAACAAATGGTGTTACACAAATTCCGGAAGCCATTGCCATAAAAATAATTAAACAAGCTATAGATTTCAACCATAGTATTAGCAATTATAAGGAATGTAAAACATAGCATAGAAATTCTCCACCTCGTAGTGTAGTTGGTTTGGTCTTTGTAAAGATGCTATAGACAATTGAGGTCTCGACTCCTCGACTATCTACATTATTGGGAAAGTGTATTTTAATGACTTATACAACATATCTTAGTCTTGAGAAAATCAATTGAGTTCTCTCTAGCCTCGCTTAAACCTCTTTTGTAAAACTACTCGTTTAAAGTCTTGAGACTCATTGAGCTCTTAGCTTGCTTAAGGATGCTAACTGTAACGTCCCATTCCGTTGTTAATAAAAACGATATAATTAGTTCCAATTTTGAACTATTTTCCTTTTATTAATAATGCTTGTTTTGAGTTCCGAGCCAGTTATTAAGTCTTTCGGTTCTAAGTTCGACTTTAAGTCGAAAGTATATTTTGGTTAATTTTTATATTAGTAACCGAGTCAATTTTAGAAATTAATCCCGATCCATTTATAAATGGACATTAGTAAGTTCAGGATTGATTATTTCAAGTTGACTAATTAATCGAAATTGAGAAAACTCGAGAAATTATTGAAGTCGAGCCGCAATCAGAACCGAACAAGTCCGGACCATATGCACATGCACCTAGCCATTTGTCTCGGACCCAAAAACTTCAACCAAGGATAAGTGAAGTTATATTTATATTTTTCTTTCACATGGTAAGATTCCAAACCAATTATTAAGTTAAATTCCGAGACACCTACTCGAGAATTAAGTTAAATTAATCTAACCTAAGCATTTTTCATGGACATGTGTCCTTAGGAGTTTTAAAGTAATTTTTATATGTCTTTACCATCAATTATAAAAGCCATGTTAGTGGAAAGAGACTTTATATATATATATTATGCCATGTTCCTTCAATCACTCATCATATTGCAACAAATTTTTATATAAAACATCACATCTTCCGCACTTAGTCAAGAGAACCAAGAAGAAGAATATTTTGTAAGTCCATCTGCGTTGTTATTTAATGTTATTGTAGCAAAACATTTTATTCTTTTACTATTCATTACAAGATATGTAATTTCGCATGTGTAATAGAGTGTATAGATTAAATCTTCCATTTCTCTTTTCTAAAACTATTGTTTCATGAATCAGTTTTATCCTCAAGTTTAACCATTTAGTTGTTCTTAGAATGAAACTAGTATATATAAACGAGATGTTCTTATAGTTTTTATTCCGCGCCATTATACGTTGCATGCGAGCCATATAGGCTCAACCGAGTTTTCTTTGCGTTTTTAAGCTTAGTAGATCATATTATGTTATTTTGAGAAGTGTTTATTGGAATGAGTTGTCGGACGGCCGGTACAGTACCGGTCGTAGATGTTTGTCGCACATAGCCTGCCCAACCGCGAGCATTTAAGGGTTAACTCGACATTGAATATCTCGTTGCAATAATTAAGTAGTCAAAGTATACACGCGCCTAGTAAGCGCGACGCTTTCGGTCGTAGCGCACGTCGGTAGTATCCGACGGTGCCTAGCCAGTTAGCGACTCAGAGGTTCGAGCGTCTTTCGGTTTGTATATATCGGTTTTAGTTCATTCCGAAATTTTAACATTTTTACAAGCTGAATAAGTTCAGTTTAGCTATATCAGTATTTCCGGACTTAGTATAATTTTATCGAACCAGTAAAAGGTTCTATTTAATCCGGATAAGTTAGCAGTTAGAATCGAGCATCGTAGCATCTATTTGAGTATATCTGAGCATAGTACTTAGTATTTGTTTATTTATATATTTTTCCAGTCTAAGCGGACAGACGTTCCAGTCAGCACTTACATTTTCAAAACAAGCAGTACAGATGAGGATCCAGCCTGGGTATTACATTGACTATAATATAGTTACCATGTCTGAGGTATGTATATATATATATATATATATATATATATGTATATATGTTATTCGCTTAGGATGGAGGACAGATGCCTTAATTGCCCATCCTAAGTTCTATTGGAGGCCAGATGCCTTAATATGTCATCAGAGTGTGCACATGGTTACCGGACATAGTGCCCTGGACTTAGTATGATTTCAGTTTCAGTTTCAGTTATACATATATTCCGAAGATCATGATATGGTTATTATTGTTGTTGTTTACTTTAGTCTGAGTTTCTACGGAGCACAGTAGTTTTTCGTGCTCACGCCCCACTACTTTTTCTTTTTCAGATGACAGGGTCGGGCCGGAGGTGTGAGCTCAGCATGGTGGTTGTGGTTGTGGATTCGGCTAGTTGCCGTTTTGTGGGTTTTATATACATTTCAGTCTGTATATATATTTTGCCACGGATTTACTTTCGCTGATGTTTCAGTTTCAAACTTGCATGCCTGTATTTTCAGTTTACCAGATTTTACCCGGTCCACTAGAGTGACTTGGGTCCAGAATTGTATGCTTGTTTGATATTCAATTTTATTTATGTCTAAACCAGTTGTTAGACAAAGTTAAAGAAACGGATTTTCAGTTCAGATAAGTTTTCACAGTAGCATCCCGAGTTATAATTTCGTAAATTTGTAAGTATTTTCAGAAAAGAATTTGCGAAAAATTTACTCTGATACTAGTAAGATAGCGGGGTGTTACAATTGGTATCAGAGCCCGTTTTTGTGTATCTGTATACTTTAACGAATCAAAAAATTTTAGAAAAACCTGACCACACCACGCTCACGCTTCGCCGACTACCAGGTAAGTGATGTTTTAAATTTTTATTTATAAACAAATTTCTAAGTCTATGCTCAGTAGAATTTCAGATATTCAACTTCAGAAATCCCTTCAGATGCTCAGATCAGTAATAAAGATTTCTAGAGGGACATTAGATCTATCCTCCTATTAGAAGCAGGAATTTTAGTTCGAACCCTAGTTTTATCAAGTTGATTTTTAGCAACTCATCAAGAAATTTGTGTCTTATCGTGAATCTAGAGCATTTTCTATTGTGCTATTATAAGATCTTTTCTGATCCAGTTCTATGTTAACTATTCAGATGGGTCCACGTAGAGATCCAGAGCACCATGAGAGGCACCAGTCGGTTGTAGTCGCTGAGTTTCGCAACTACAATCCCTAAAAGTTTACTGGACAGGGAGATCCTCGACTAGTATATGAGTGGATCAGGGCCTTGAGATGATTTTTGAGGTCCGGGGTTGCTCAGAGCGTCACCGTATTCTCTGTGCTCAATTTCAGATGACAGGAGACGCTCGGTTGTGGTGGAATGCTTATTGGGGCATGCGCCCTAGAGAGAATGAGAATCTTACTTGGGCTCAATTCAAGAATCTCTTGCGAGAGAAGTACTATCGGACTTACTACCGGACAGAGATAGAGCGCCAGTTCTTGGTGTTAGAGCAGGGAAATAGTACAGTCGATGAGTACGAGCGTGAATTTACTCGCCTTGGATTTTTCGTTACCTATATGGTAGATACGGAGGAGAAGAGGTCGAACCGCTTCCGTGAAGGACTTTTACCAAAAATCCACCACAACTTAGCTGGACATGTTTCTCTGTCCTATGCTGACACAGTTACACGTGCCCAAAAGATAGATGTCAGTTTTCAAAGGGAAGCCGCACGAGTTCAAAGTCAGCCTATCATTCTGCCAGTTGTTCAGCCAGCTATTCAGCCTCTAGCACAACCAGTCCCTAATCAACATGCGAAGAATAAGAACAAGAGAAAGGTGCGAGGCCAGCAGGATGACTGTAGGAACATGCAGAGGCGAGCAGGTCCAGCTACACAGCAGAGACAGATTCTAGTTTGAGGCACCTGTGGACGTTCTCACCGAGGAGAGTGTCTTGCTGGATAAAACATTTGCTATCACTGTCGGAGGCCTAGACATATCATCCAGTACTGTCCAGACAGATTACAGCAGCAGCATCCACAACAGCAGCCCAGACAACAGCCTCCGAAACAGCCGCAGCAGTAGAGACAAGCGGGACAGCAGGCTCATGTATATGCTGTGGGTCAGGCCGAAGCAGAGTAGAACCCAGGTACTATGTCTGGGGTGATTATTCTTAATGATGTACCTGTTTTCGTTTTATTTGACACTGGGGCGACACATTCCTTCATTACAACTCAATGTCTAGATGCCATTGGAGTTCGACCCATCAACACTGTTTACCCTCTTGAGGTGAGTTTAGCCTCGGGAAGGAAGATAATGACGAGCTCTAAGGTCGAGAGTCTGAGACTTTCTATTGGCGGTTGAAGTTTGGAGGTCGATGCTTATGTGATCCAGATGAGGGATTTTGACCTCATTCTCGGTATGGATTGGTTAGCACATTTCCATACAGATATTCGTTGCCATGACCAGGAGGTAATTCTTCATCTTCTGGAGGACAGAACCATCACTTTTTATGGCACTAATACCCGAACTTTACCTCATATTATTTCTATGGCGAAGGCCGGAAAGATCCTACGACGGGAAGATTGCCAGGGCTATCTAGTGAGCCTTGTCAAAGAAGATTCGAGAGCACATACACCTCATGACATTCCTATCATTCGTGAGTTTGTGAATGTGTTTTCGGACTAGCTGCCAGGAGGACCACCCAACCGGCAAGTGGAGTTCTCTATTGACCTCGTGCTAGGAGCCGGACCAGTATCCAAAGCGCCGTACAGAATGGCCCCCGAAAAAGTTACAAGAATTAAAGACTCAGATCCAGGAGTTGTTGAAACTCGGGTTCATTCGCCCGAGTGTTTCACCTTGGGGAGCAACCGTTCTTTTTGTTAAAAAGAAGGACAGATCTATGAGAATGTGCATTGATTACTGGGATTTGAATCGGTTAACAGTGAAAAATAAATATCCGCTTCCCAGAATAGACGATTTGTTCGACCAGCTGAGGGGAGCCTGTGCATTTTCCAAGATCGATTTACGTTCAGGCTACCACTAGTTGAAGATCAAGGAGTATGATATAGCCAAGACTGCGTTTCGAATGAGATACGGTCATTACAAGTTCGTGGTGATGCCGTTTGGACTAAGTAACGCGCCAGCGATGTTCATGTACTTGATGAACCGTGTATTCCATCCTTATTTAGATCGATTTGTTATCGTTTTTATTGATGACATTTTGGTACAGTCTTAAGGAGCACGAGGAGCATTTGAGGGTTGTTCTCGGGACCCTTAGACGCGAGAAGCTATATGCCAAGTTTTCGAAATGCGAGTTTTGGCTGAAACGAGTGGCTTTTCTTGGTCACATTATCACCGAGAGAGGCATCAAGGTAGATCCATCAAAGATTGCCGCAGTCCAGAGCTGGTCAGCGTAAAAGAGTCCAACCGAGGTTCTTAGTTTCCTCGGCTTAGCAGGCTACTATCGCAGATTTATCGAGGGATTTTCAAAGATTGCCCTCCCTTTGTCCCAGTTGACGAGGAAGTCTGTGAAGTTCGAGTGGACGAATCGTTGTGAGTCGAGCCCAGGAGCTCAAAAAGAGGCTTACGACGGCACCAGTGCTGACTATTCCAGATCCTACTCGGAGTTTTACCATCTTCAGTGATGCTTCGAGGCAGGGTTTGGGGTGTGTTCTTATGTAAGACGGCCAAGTTGTAGCGTACGCTTCACGCTAGTTGAAGCCACACAAGCAAAATTATCCTTCGCACGACTTGGAGTTTGCCGCAGTTGCTCATGCACTCATGATTTGGCGGCATTATCTTTATGGCGGTCGGTGTGAGATTTATACCGATTGTTAGAGGTATGCTGTAAAAGCTGTGTTTTGGAGTCTCTATCAATTCCATTTTGATCTGGCAATCATGTTTCGGTCAAAGTACATATGTTTG